TAACAGAAGTATTGCGGCTACAATAATTTATATCGCTTTTTCCGTACAATCTATTATATGCCTTAATTACAGTGTGTATAAATGCTATAAAGTCTACATTGCTTTGCATTAAACATGCAAGTTACAACGTTATTCAAGTTGCGACGGTTAATTTAAAAGTGCGTTGTTGAACCCTTTCAGAGGCATTGTATCTTTGTGCGCTTTGTACGAGAGATGGTTTATCTGCGTCGCGGGGTACATAAGTGCTGTTTTTTCATTCCGTAATGCTTTTACATTTCAAAGGGGTTAAATGTTATTCAGGCTGGTTGGCCGTTTAGAAAATGTGTGGGTGTCATGGGGAAAAATAACTGATTATAAAATCTAAGTAGGTATAGATACCTAAATGAGACATATATACATATATAAATGAAACCTACCTATTTTTTAATGTATTGACAAACACATAGCAATTATTTCGTTTTTGCTAGAATAACCCCGATGAAAAGAAGATAACAAACATTTTATACAGGATGATTAAGAAATAAACAGAATACGAATATGACAATTAAAATGTCTGATGATCTTTTAAACACACTAATAGGTACATATCGTAATTGAAGACTTTTATTTTTTTACAAAATCAAGAGTTAAACTTGTACAGAAATATAAATCGAGACAAAGGAATATATGAAATCTTTTTACTAGCAATATATCTAGTAGTCTACATTGTTTATGGGTTCGGGACCTTGTTAACGATTAATTGACTACTGTTTCACGCCTAATTAATCTATACGCTTTAAACCCATAGAAGGTGGTGCGGCATGATCTTGGACTCTACCAATTCTCATATCAAAACAAACTTATTGAAATTGACAGTTTTGCGATTACAATTGTTAAACCGAGAAATTCACTAGACAATGTTATATTAATATTCGTTGTATGAACTATTGTTCTTTCACCCGGATATGGTTAATATTGCAATTCAAAATATTATAACATGTACCTTAAATCAATAATTGTTTATTTACAACACAATACTCAGATGGCATTATGTTTTATGAGATATTGTATTGAGTATATATATATTCATTTTAGTTTCAGTATTTAGGTACCTACCAATTTAATTTGAACGGCAAACAATGCCATTCCAAATCCATAATAAATATAGCTAGAAGCTAGCCAGGAATAGAAGTATATAAATATGATAGAATGTAGCTAGACCTAGACCAGTCTATTTTAACCTACTTCAAAAAAGAAAAAGATTTCCAATTAGATGGTATTTTTATTTGAGTTGCCTCAGAACTTTATTCTACGTAAACTGATTTTGTTGATTCCTTTTTATTTGAATGTAAGTGTCTACTCACTTAGTTTGATATATACATTCCTAGGTACAGATACGTACTTTTTGAGTTATCCATAGTAAGACGTTTGAACTAGCTTTTTTTCGTGATGAAAACCCATGTTCAGTAAGAAAGAGCTATTTATATATATATGTTTATTAAATATAGAGAAATATATGTTCTCCTTCTAATTAAAATACGATACGATAATTAAGCTATAGTTAAGCAAAATTGTCAACGTATCCTTAAATGTAGTCTCACGAGTCACCGTGAGTCGAGGCCGCAGTATGGGAGTGTTATGTCATTAGCCATTAACGCGCCACTAGCGCGATAGTGTTGCGCGGCAGATTTATAGTGACCCGGTATATAGGATAAATCACCCGCGGGCCACCCCTCCACCCCCCACCGGGGCGCGAGGAGGGGCGGGAGGGGGCGAGCGCCTTAGACTGTCTCCAGACTTCAGTTGAGTTACGTATTGTTCTAATGGAAACGATTTTGCGTAAGCGTGAGTGATTCATTTGATGTTGTTATCTTATCTTGTTCCGTTCGGGTTTTAGAACAACCCTTTTTTGTTATTGACTACTACTATTGTTTAGGTTCTGCTTATAATGATATAAGGGCAGTGGCTGAACCAACAAGCTTGAACATTGGGATATGGTGTCTATTAGAGGAGGTTTATGTCTTAGGAGAAGCTGACAATCCGAGGCAGAACTAGTAATAAACATGAACAAAATTAACTTCACTATCAGAATAAAGACTATAAATAAATAAATAAAGGTTCTATTTGTAACTTCATCGGCGTGATCGTCATAGATTAGGAATAGAGTAGTTAAAAGAGAGCATAGTATAGCGCGTTCCTTCTTCGAAACAGATCTAAAGGTCTAAAAAAAGATTAAAAAAATTACAAAAATAAATAAGCAATTTATACCTTTGAATTAACCCCAGTAATGAATACACCAAACACCGCTAACAAAATTGGAGATGCGATTTATATATCTAAATCACTATCCAGTGACGGAAACATCGCTAACAAATCAAAAAAATCCAAGAGCTATCTCTTGCTTGCTTTCAGCCAATTTTCATGCAAACTGAAATAAACTAATAATTGTACATGTGGGTGTGTTACAAAGAATATCAACGTTAAAATCTCCACATACAATAATTTTTTTAATACTATTAAATATTTTTTTTAAAAAAAGGGGTGATGGAGGATTCCATCACCCCTTCAAAAACATTGTAATCACTCATATATAAACATATAACTAAATGCGAATATATGTCAAGTGGTGTATTCACCGTGACGACAAGATCAGTTGACAATGCTTCTGACTGTCTATCTGGGATAACAGCCGTGAAGGTCTTTTATTAGATACATCTTAATAATAATATTATAAATGCGAAAGTTTGTAAGTATGGATGTTTGTTACTCTTTCACGCAAAAACTACTGAATGTATTTTGATGAAACATTACATTAACATAGCTTATGCATCAGAATAACACATAGGCTATATTTTAAATTGAAATTTAACGCGGGTGAAACCACGGGCACGGCTAGTATTTTATATATAGGTATATAAAAATAGCGCATCTCATATCCAATGCAAATGCTCTACCACATTATATCTACCACATTTATTTATATAGATTTAAATATTTACCACAATAATTTTTTTTACTACTATTATCTGTAGTCCCCAAACTAGGTCTGACCTGTAACTTGGGACAGGTAGCGCGGATACTAAAAATATACAGTTGACTAATTTTACAATTAGATTAACTATTAAATTAACAATTTTTTTAAGTATAAATCCTAAGAAATGTTCTGTTTTTTTAATGTAAAGAAGAAGAAGAGAAATAAGAAAAATATAAAAAAAATAATTTTACATGTACATGTATGCATTTTAAGTAGGCAGATGCTTTAAGTATACGATATATATAGGTATATCTACGAATCATTTTTTAAATAGAGGGGAGAGTGATATTACAAAATAGTCGAAATTCCAGACCATACCTAATTAATTTCAATTATAAGGCTAAATCAAATATCACAGGCATTGTCTGTCGCAAAGGCAATAAAGAAAAGAGTATCGTTAAGCATCGTAGTGTGAGTAATATTATAATATTTTATTATTCGATTAACGTGTATAATATATATTTTTTTTAAATATTGGCATTCTGCATTCCTTCTCTATAGATACTATAAGCGTGCGATATTTCATACGCCTTCGTCCATGTAATTTTCGTAAGGGGTAAATTTTATATATATTATTGCATCGCGTATTAATATATGTAATTATGTCTATCTACATAATAGATATTATATCCTAAGTCCTAAGAATAGTCCTAAGCTCCCGATTAATACCTACGTACATATCTAAACCTACTTTTATAGATATACCATGACAGCTTGAGTTAGACAAAGCAAAGTTTGGTTGACTGAGTAGTTACAAGTATAAATTTACGAATTCGAACAATAAGTAGGTAGTAGATACATAATTGTTATCAGCATTTGTATTTATACATTTTTGAATTTTTAACTTAAGATTATTATCAACTTAAGATTATTACATATATCTTATGTTTGTTTACGTGATGGCCTGAGTGGTCTAGCGGTTTAGCACATTGCTTTACTGCCGATGGTCGCGTTTCGATTCCTCGAACGGTGCAAACATTTGTATTTATGGGTATGATTGTTCGTATAGTATATATACTGGCTATATAGTCTGGGTATTTTCTATGTATATTATGTACTTTATACCAACATGTATTCCAAACATTTTATTTCTTTATCTAATGAAATGTTATAATAATAACTGATTTAAACAATTTTGTAGCGTTCTGAACTATATTTTAGTTCAAATGTGGGTAGTACAATGCAACGTCTTTACTTTAAGCCACAGATTGATTGATCTTAACATTATTTAATTTGTGTAGGTATATCGAAAGTATTTAAATACTTAATTTATAGGTAAAATATAGATATATTGTATTTTTAATATTATTGATTAAAACTTCAATGATATTGTCTAATTTATAATTTTATTACTGTTAGGTAGATAGGCAAGTATATATAAAATATTCTATAAATTTTATAATTAAATAAAATATGTAGGTAAGTGTTATTGAAGCCTTAAATTAATTTACCTAACTACGTTATAAGTAGTATCTATTGAATATATAAAAATAAAGCATAATTAGAATCCATTTAATATCTACAAGCACGTCAGTGTGTAAATAATGTTTCGTTATACTATGGATATGTAGGTACAACAATAATTACATATTTTAAGTAATTATGTATATGTGAAATTATTTATACGTACAACTAGAATCTTAACTATAGAAGTTTACTGTATTGTGTAAAGGTTATTTAATTTTTATAACCAATAATATCAGATACCCTAAAATATAACAAATGTCACCATACAATAAAACATTTGGATCCATCACGAGCGACGCGCGCGCGTTGACTGAACGCACACCAGCGCATCCCGCCCAAAAAGAGAAAAAGAAAATTTGAAAAGAGAACACACCCATTCGAAATTCAAGCTCCGCCCGAATCGGCCGCCCGGCCGCTGCGTCGGCCAATCACAGCGCGGCTGCCACCGAAGCAGGACTGTCGTCGCCGATGGGAGCCGAGGGCGGCCGATCGCGCGATCCACAACAAAAAGTCACACGACTGGTTTAGTGTCGGGTTGCGTCCCAACGACGTTGTATCGCGTACTGTTCCGTCGCATTTGCGTCTGCGCTTGCGCTCACAAAACGGACTGTTTTTCTTATTCTAACCTAATACTCCGCGGCTGCAAACTACTCATACGATTCTATGCACATTATATTGACGTATTGTGATCTGTGATAGCGAATTATACGATTTTTTTATGAAAATGAACACGCAAACGGGATGGAGCTCATGATATCAGTGTGTTTATGTATCTGCACAGTATTTACAGTGATACATAGTGATAGTGATCGACATTGTGATACGCGTCTGATAAGGACATCCGAGGTATTTCTAAGTTATTTCTATATTTATTACAATACATTAGAATTTACAAATAAATAGGCAGTTTATAAATAGAAAATATTTTTTTTTTATTATACACAATTACAGGTATATTTTTAATATTCATTATTAATAGAAATAATTGATATTATAATAAATCTGAACAAAAGAAAGTAATATTTTAATATGTAGAGTGAAAATAATGTTGACTTTGTATGCCGATGGCACAAAAAATGTAGAAAAATAAATTAATCTGAATTAAAAATAATGAATTATAATAATAAATAATATAATATAATAATAATAACAATTGAGTTAACAATAAAAATATATAATTAGGTATATTAAAAATCTTGCAGTGAAATGATAGAGTTAGGCGCGCAACTCTACTACCGACGGAAGAATACTGCACGCTGTTTTTCTCAGTTACAGAGATAAAGTATTATATTTGAATAATATCTGTATGCCTATATATGTAACTTACTTTATATTTAAATTCAGTATCTAATAAAAAGTGCATATTTTATCTAGACATTTTTATATTCACTTCTATATACCTATTTGAAATTTATGATAACAACTCATAAATATTATTTATTCAAATATATATTTAATTATGATAGTGATAATTTATTTAGATTAATGGTAAAAGATCTGTTACCTAAGTACATTACTTAGTGCTAGTGATCTGCATGTAAAAGACATAAACGAGATATGCAGGTAGATATTTTTTTCAAAATCTTGTATTTTTTAATCTCTATTTATTATTATAGATACTTTATTAGTAAATAATTGTAATACACATCTAAAAATTGAGATATGTCTAAATAATACCTCATTAAAGCACATATTGCTTTGTATTATAGCTTTATCTATTTGTTCAAGACATCCAATGCCCATAAAATTTTTCTTTAGTTTCGAAATTAACTTTGTTATGCTCGTTTAATATGTGATTCTATTTAATTAACTAATAAATAACTAACTATATCTATGTTAGAATAAAGAGAAATAGAGCGGATTTTGTTATGAGGAAAGAACTCCGGAATTTCTGCACTGCAGTGTGGATTCTTTCATTGTTTATTTTTGAAAGGTAAACAGTGAAATACATTATTCTAAATAGTATAGAGTATACGTACATATATATGTATATATAAAACTAACAAAGTTATGAGAAAATCGTGATGAGCCACTAGTATTTAATGAGAGAGCCTATTTTATTACACTGCCCTATTATACCGTTTCTAATTAATATTTTCCTTCTTTTTTATATATCTTGATGATCAATATAATCTATTCTATATACCTATTGACTTTTAGAATTTACTGACAATTTATAATACTTATAATAAGATAATTAACATGGCGCTTTTGTATACCTGGGTATAGGTAGTAACTATTTCTATTTTTGTTATGGTAAGATGCTGAACAATATAACTTAATTGCTTACTGTTTAGTAAGTCTTAGATGTTTACCTAAGTGTATACTAAATAACACGAATATGTAGAAATATAATAATAAAACCCCTTTTTTACATATATATAAATAAAGTACAATGACAGTTTTACACTAGAATACATTAAAAGTGTTTTATAAAAGGCGACAGAGAAGAGAATCACGGTTTTTGATGAGAAATGTTTTAGGTAGTATTATTGGCCGTTTAATTTATAAATGAATTATAATAAAAATGTAGTAATAGACATGGATTTTTGTACTATAGATATAGTACTGAGATTATTGACTAATAAGTTGAAAGTAGAACTATATCTATACCAGATTTTTTTGCAAATATTAACATACCATCTAACCTCCTAATAGTTGTAGGTTTTATTCCCGGACAATACCAGTATTTGTGATTTAAATGCTGTCTTATATATAGGTATAACATAAAAATGAATATTCCTATTTATAAACCGGTGCATACAGTACAAACTCATTTTAATTTTGAAAGATGGCGCTCTCTGATAAATTGTGGATTAATTATTTATGTCTACATATCACATTATTTATTTATGTCTACGTAACCACTAAATAGATTATTGTAATAAGTATCTAAGTACTATATAGTGATATCATGAGATATGTAGATACTTGTGTACCGGCCTATACAGGATAGTTAGTATGCTTACACAGATAATAAAATTATTCCCACGAATTAAAGCCATGTATACACTAACGTACCTACTCAGATATTACGAGGACGTATGCGTGTGGTACTTATTGATTTATTGACAATATATATTGATTTATTATTTAGATAGATATATATTTTAATGCTGATATATTTTATACTACTTATTTGATATTTTTGATTTGTTATTGATATAAAATTGCACGAAAATACAGAATAATTTTCAGTAACTATGGTATTTTTTCTTTATCTAGATACATTTTTTATGGAGTTGTCTATGACAGGGTTATGTTCTAGAGAATTAAAAAGAAATAGTAGGCTCTTAAGTAGACTAGAATATATTAGAAATGAAATAGTTTTACAGATAGATCTTCAAAAATTGGTTTGTTTCTTGTATAACGGTCCATATGAGAGGATAAATGCGGAAAATAGAGTTCATACATAGGTTTGTCAGATTATACATATTATTATAAACAGCTACCGTCCCACCCGGCTTCGGCCGTGCGCTTATATTGTAACTTTATGATAATGTACATATATAATATTTGAGAGATATATGATATTTATATAGTACTATGATTAGATATAATAATATGTCTAATCAGAGTACTATATCCTTGAATTAGTATCTTTGAAATTGTAAGGTAATTTCTCATAATGGTGTAGGGTTTCCAGGATGTATAGGTAGTCATCATAATAAAACCTCTCTCTCTAATTTTATAATAATAGTAATTATGTGTATATAACCTAATAATATTTCGGTAAAATGTAATTTTTGCTTCTTGTCAATCATTTGAGTTAATTAATACACTGTTTTCAAGTAATGATGAGATATATCTCATCATCACTTCTATAATCTTATAAAATTATATCAGATAAACATGGTTCATTTTTATCACTTAGATATACTTACCTCCTGTAACTTATAGCTTCTTAACGTTCTCTTACTAGTACTACTAAATAAATAGATTTAATGATTTTGATTTCAGTTAAATCTGTAATAGCTGCAAAATATTAATACCTAGATATGACCCTGATAGATTGCAATATCACATAGATACTGGCGAAAAATCAGAATCGGCTTACCGTTATCATTAAATCATAATAACTACGGTGTAATATTTATCTGTAATATAAAGAAAGATATGAACGTAATATCTTTAAGTGACGGAAGTATAATACACACTTTTTATAAAAAACAATATACCTACCTATTGAGTTATTTTTTTAAACTTTAAAACAAAGATTAGACATTCAAGATTTCTTCTCTCTGCTTACTTTTTCTCCATAGAACAATATCATAAAACGGAAAATATATATCTATGTAGACATAGAACATTATTTGCGAATTCTCCTTTTAAAAAATACGGGTTTACGTTCATATTTTCGATCGAAGGCCATAGCACTACTTGCACTTCTATTGTGTTAATATCTTATTATTGTGTAAGTGTTCTTATAAAAGACTTACTAATAGTTTAGTTTACTCTTTATAATTCACTGTGTATGGGGAGGAAGGGATTATAAGTAATGGGAACTAGTGGGACCACTAGTTGCTATCAATATAATTTATCTTTAAACACGATCTAGTCTCTATATTTGCGATTTATACATTATTCTTTCTATATGCTGTCGTATGTGGCTCATTTTAGGTATACCTAGTATATTTGAGTAGATGCATTCCATTAACAAGAATACACGGGCTTCACATGATGACGTGATGTCCGTGATGCCTCGTACTCGTAGGTACTATCAAACGGGCTTCAGCTTGTTTGCAATACCAGTTACATAAAAGCAAACTAGCGATGTATAGCTATAGTATATAGAAAATATATTATATTTACATACAATAAGTACTTGATCACCACCAATCAATGTCAATGTCACTTGAGTTGTTGTCGTTTCCATACCGATCGTTGGCCAATTTCAACCACGCCGATTGGCCGCCATGACAGTTCGCGTTCGAAATTTGAATGCGGTCCGAGATGCGCAAACGCTGCCGATTATCCTTCGATAAGATTTGGACATGTGTGTGTATACGTGTTTCCGCTTTAGACGCATATGTATAGTAGTAACCATATCCTGTCGGTATGTAATAATTTATAGCAATTCTAATCATATAATTCTTAATGAATTAAATTAAATTTTATTTACATAATTATTGAAAAATTATATGGAAATCTATAAGTATTATAAATTAGTGGTATAATTATTATAACTGGCTTTATGTACATTTTAAACAATTAACTAGTCGGTTAGTCTATTAATAATATACATTAAACCCAAAAAATAGTATCTTGATATTTATTTAGTCTGTTTCATTCACTTCGCTATTTATTTTTATTATATCGTAGGTCCATCAGACCCCTTATTAATATTTGCTTATAATAACCACCATAGGGTTGGTGATATAAAACACAAATATTTTTACACCTTTTGAGACGTTAAGTAAAAAAATATTCCTAATTAACATGAACTAATCTTAACTAAGTTTAGGTGTCCCTATAATATAAAACAGGTCGAATTTTATTCACTAAAGATATTTTTGTCATGACATTTTTATTGCATATACCTAATAAAAAATGAATTATACAGACGGGACTGAATGATAGCCTTAAAATTAAAGTTCTTAAGAACTTTTCTAAACTGATAACTCATGTTGGTTAAGATTGAAGTGACCAGCTCCAGTTTCCTTATAAATATACTACTCATAATCATAAAAATATACATACTTATATATATACGACTTAATAATTCTTAACTGTACTCTATTCTACGTACGTTATCTATTGGTGCTATAGATATATAAAATTATCTTCTGATTATATGTCATTAAGTAATAAATATCCAATGTTCATTAATACTATAAGTTTCAGAA